CTCCTCGCGATATCACAACGTATGTGTCTCCCCTTACCGTTAATCATGTTTCCAAGAAAATCTGCAGACTCTCGCAAAAAGTATATCAGAGAATTGAAAATCTTAAATTGTGAGACGAGAGAGACGATTTCGCGAGATTCGAATTATTGGTGGAGAGCATTTCGGATTTTTATCGCGTCGCTGTAAAATTTGTTGAATGACAATACGTGTTTTACCGGGAAACGAGCTATAATACCGCTGGTGCCCGGCACTCTCGTGGGTGGTATAGCTATTGTAGTGTTTTTCTTTCGATATGAAAAAAAAAAGCGGCTGCCGGGGAGGGGAGGAGGTGCGATCCGTTTTAAGCGGCACCTGATCGTCCGCTGATGGGAAAAGCAGGATAAATTAATTACGCGCGCGGCGAATTTTTTTTTTTCCACACGGACAGCAAACGATTGGGTAGAACGTAAATGCGTCCGACGAGCGATTTGTACGCGTCTATCGTGGAGATTTATGCGAGAGATGCGTTTAACGCCTGTCGGGAAAAGGAAACGAAACGAACGCACTTTTGCGATCGGTATAAAACCCCGCCCACGGCGATGCGTCCTATAAATTATCGAAGTAGCGTTAAGAATTTCTGTTTTTCTGTTAGGAATTATTATAATATCCCAGGGAACGCTAACATTAACAGTATTACGACGATTAGATCGATTACAGGGTTTTATTTGATACTTGCGTTTGGATTTTGTACATTTATAGTATTTTGTCACGTAGTGTGAAATAAGCAAAGTTGATTCTTTATTTATTTATTTATTTATTTATTTTTTTTAATAGAAAAAGTCATGCATTTTATATGTATTTATTTAATTCACTATCCGTCACATGCTGCATCGCTTTTTATTATCTTTACACTTATATATATTAAAATCGATGGGAAGATACAAGTAAAGGATTTGTAGAGACGCAGCATGATTATCTTGAAGTAAAATAATAAACGATACGATTTTTTCGCACGTTTTATTTTATCATACTCTATTTTTGTAGCATTTATATTTTATTATATTCTAGTTTTTTTTTTTTTTTTAATTTAGTATACGCTATGTGCGATTTTACGGAGGAGACGATTTTCGTAAAAATGCGCACGAAAAATATCGGATTATTTGCTTTCGTGCAGTCCGATAAAAATCGGTGACAACTGAATTATTGACTTTCGCTTCTCGGTGCGCACTTTTTTTTTCTCCGCACGACTTTTCCGCGTCGGGGATATTGAAATTATCGTCCGACATATGTATATAGGTAAGGACGAATCGATAGAATCAGAGAGCGATTTTGAGTAAGCATTTTGCAGATTTCGCGCAAGTATTTTTTTAGTACTTCATGTTATTTGTCTATAAAAAGAAGAACCGTCTCGCGAGACGGCCGGCCGTCGCTGTTGTTTTCTATCATTTACTTTCCTCAGAGACGGCTACATCCAGGTACAGGTTGAGCTGAGTCTTAGGATTACCCGTAAGCTCGTTTTAGCTGTTGGAGCATAATACGGGGATAAAGACAGGCGATGCGACTGGAAATGCACCGCGAGAAGATATTATTCAAGATTAAACATTCTTAGAGGCCGCGATATTTATTGACGCCTACTACCACTAGTTTATTCTCGCACGACTTTTAAATGTACGCACGTAACATTAAATAATTTCGCGCTTGAATGATCATTTATTTCAACGTAACGGTGTCCAAAACCTGCGTTTAAAATTAGCGCGATTGGAATAAGAAAAAGAAAAATGTACGCTATTTGAAATTTTATATAAAATTTTAATAAAAAATTTTATATAAAAATTTTACTCGAGCTACAGGTCGCCAAAAATCCATTTTAATATTTTTTACTTTGGCTGTTTTTTTTTTTCACAATGATCCTCTCGGACTAAAATTACTTACTCTTACACTCGACATGCTTTTTCGGCACGTGCGAGTATTTAGTATTGATTCTACTGTTTTTTTTTTTTTTTTTTTATAACCTGTATATATAAAACACGATTTTGGACACCGTTGGCTTGAGGATTGAGAGCGCGATAAGGATTATTCTCGCGATAGTGTACCTACGAATAATCGCATTCCCCCGAAGCGTTTAAGTCGCGATATTCCGATTAATTACTTTTGTAATTGCGAATCAGTCACTTTTGTAACAAGTACGTTAAGCGAAACGTGATTAACTCTAGCTACTCCTCCCGGCAATTCGCTGTAATTTCCAGAGAGTTATATATAGTCGGTGATCGTGTGATAGACCTCGTCGTCGTCGTCGTCGTCGTCGTCATCCGCGAAACATAATCGTAGAAAAAAATAAGAAAAAAAACGCACGATCGCGATCACGTTGTACTCGATAATCGTGTAATATCTCCTCTCTCTATCTCCTCTTTCTTTCTATTTCTCGCTCTCTTTTCTTTCTCTTTCTCTCTTTCTCAAGCTACTAATATATCCCTGTCTTTAACGCGTTTAACGAACCGAGCTCAGAGTGAAAGCTTTCGAAACACAAACGTCGAAGCCTTTCCCTCTTGCTTCCGTTGCTCTCGTGTGTTCTCTTTCTCTCCACCCCTTTGATTTCTCCAGTCCTGTAATTTGAGTTTTGCCCCTCCTGATACTTTTACACTTTACACACACACACACACACACACACACACACACACACACACACACACACACACACACACACACACACACACACACACACACTCATACAGGTACACACTTTAAACACATAAAATGATTTCCGTGCACAAGAAACTCAGATATTCAGCGCGGAAAACACAAACAGACGAAACAGACAGACAAACAAGACCAGAGTGTGGCCCTCTCTGCAAAATAGCTACAACGCTGCTTGTGCCTCTCCGCAGAAGAAGATTGGGAACGTGAATTGGAGGCCGAGCTAAAGGATTACGAGGTTGTAACGGGCAACAATAACGGTGGCGGCAGCAGCCAGGAGAGGAGCGTCGCGACGGCCACGAAAGACATCGCGGCCAACGATAATGACTGGGAGAAGCAGATCGACGAGCTGCTCGCCAACGAGGACGACGAGGACCTCAAGTGAGCCGAGGGGATCCTCTTCGTGACCGGATAAGAGGGTCGCCCTACGTTGAGATCCCGCGCGATTAGCGAGATCGGCGTGTCGGTTTTCGCATTGGAACTTTCTCTCTGATACAGAGAAGCTCGCGAATTTCTTTTGTACATTATTATAGTTTCTCGTTAATCTTCTGATCGGGGCGGGTACATTGCCGTTACAAGAAGGAGAGAAATGAAAGACAAAGCGATACTCGGCGAAGATCGTGTCGTCGATCAACTATTTTATTTTCTACGAGATCGAATCGACCGATGGATTGAGGCTCACATTGTGCGTGCGTTAATTTTACGATATCGTAACGCCATTTTTTAAGGAGAATCTATTTTATATCTTTTTGACAGCTTGTTCTATTTGTGCTTTAATATGTAAAAAGAAAGACTAAAATTTGACAAGAGCAATTTAATTTTTTTTTTTTTTTTTTTTTTTTTTAATAGATTTTAATTGTTCGACTTTCTTTCATTCTTTACATAAAGTCGTGCCACTTAAGGACGGCAATCTCTCATCGTCGTCGTATATTGACACGAAAACTTAGAAGTCCAGTTTGAGATCGATAGAATTCTTTTCGCATTCGTACTGGCTTCTTCAACGTGAAGAAGCTGCGAGAGTCATGTTTTATTTTGGCTTGTCTCGCGACTGTCTCCGCATGAACCACGGTAAAATAGAATACATGAAACCGCCCTTTCGTAGAGAAAATGTAGTTACAGAGGAGCGTCTCGGAAGAATTCCTCCTTTTATTTCGATCCATCGTCGATCTCCTAAGGGAAAGAAACGCGAATAAAAATGACGCGAGATTCTTTGAGGTTCGTCTCGTCCTCGAGAAGCGTGTATATCGGGATAAAGTATAAGGGTGTAAACCGGAAACCGCACCGAAAAATTTCCGACGCACGGAAAAATCACTGCTGCAGTGACAAATGTGAAGATCGTAGCTATATAAAGGATAAAAGCGAGAAAGATAGAAAGGAGAGTCTACCCATCGTTTTCCTTTCGTTCCTTTTTTCATTTCTCGAAAAGAAAAGCAGCTTCTTTACGATCCTCGAACACGATGAACACGATGATCCTTTCTCCTCCACCATCGCCGTTTTACAGCTTGGTGGTGCAGCAGAAAGACTTCACGTATTCGTACGATTTTCATCAAATATATACACATTCGTATGAATCTTTGTGCTTCTATCTCCGAATTACAAAATGACATTCGGTTGTTGTAGCTCCAGAGAGAGAGAGCGAGAGAGAGAGAGAGAGAGAGAGAAAGAGAGCGAAAGAGAGAGAGAGAGAGAAATGTTGAAGAACATATGAATTAATTAACACCACAAGCTTATGTCAATTATCGGGCGCTCTTGTCCGAGAACGTAATGTTGATTGTAATAATAAATATCTTCAAAGTTGTGTGATATTTAAGTAAAATTAATTTGAAGCTTGATCGACGGAGATGCAACACGGTTGCTCTTGTACACGAACGCTCTTCATCGTGATCGAAGGATCGACAGTTTTTTCAAGATAAATTACACTGCCGTGTGCCGAAGGACACACCGTTTCGAGTGCGGATCGACGATTACGGCGGTCGGTGGTGCATTTTTTGCGAGTCTAGGTCGCCCTACAAAATTAACGGTTCTCGGAATAATTATGAAAAACATTGTTTCATAATTTTTAAATGTACTAAAAGCTCTCTCCACTCTCGTGCAAGAATGGACGCTTCGAAGCGCAAACGCGCCGTCGGTCGTCATCCTTTCTTTACAAGCAGACGCTTTATCGCAACGGCGCTTTTCGTTGTTGATCGCCAGCAATTATTGCCGATACAATCTACGAGAACGTGTCAAAGACAAAGATTGATTCGACTAATATCTACAATCTGATGAGCTTATCATGACTTTGCGCGGAACGTCCTACGATTGGGTAAGCGGAAAGGCACTAGATTTAGCGATGTCTTTTGTTCAGCATGTATGTTACTGGCGAAATTCGTAGATAAGATGCGAATATTGTTGTCGGCGACGACGACGACAACGGTGACGATGTTGAAAGGAGAATGCGTCGTCTATTAAATTCATTCTTATCGATCACGGAAGTGTTCCGTTATGCGTTGTTTGTATTGTGTCAAAGTGGAATTATACGCTGTAAGAATGACATGTTCGCGTTGTCTGTACGGACGAAATATCGTAATAAATCATTGCATTGACATAAACTCTAATGGAGCATATATTACGCTGTTTCATTTGTAAAGGCTCGAGCGCAAAGATTGTCATAATCTGCTTGCCAACAGAGTCGTAAGTCAACTCACAAGGATTGACGTTAAGCATATGCCGTAACAACTCCGAAGACAATTATGATAAGTAAGCGCACAAGCGTGCATTTTACAACTCTGTTCAGTGACAGTTACGACAAGCTTCGAGCTCAAGCCCCTATCTTGTAAAACACGCCGGCGGGAGAATGAGGTGTTCAGTTTCGATTGCGAAAGTCGCGCGGCGCAACATTTTCTTTGGGCAACATTGTTCTCGGTGTGACACACCCGTCCAATTGTCCTCTGCCAACGGAAGAAACGGGAAGAAACACGACATTCGCAGTTAAGATTCTTG